GGGTGAAACTACCTTAGTTGACAAGTTTTCCCTGAGTGAAGAATTCAGGATTTAGAGCAGTGATGGCCAAACTTGGCCCTCCAGCTGTTTTGGGACTACAGTTCCCATCATCCTTGACCACTGGTCCTGTTAGCTAGGGATGATGGGAGTTGTAGTCCCAAAACAGCTGGAGGGCCAAGTTTGGCCATCACTGGTTTAGAGTAATTCCAAAACCATCAAGCTGCGTAATGTTAACTTAGCCTCCCCCAACCTGATACCTTCCAGTTGTTTTCTGCTACAGCTTTCATCGGCCTCAGCCAAAACATCTGGAGAGCACCAGGTTGGGGAAGGCTGCTTTAAAACATCTGGCAACATGGCATGCATTGCAAACATGAGCAGATGTGGTATAGTATCGCAGTAGGGTTGTTTCTGACAGTTCCAAAAGTCTAAAAATAGCTGTAGTTTTTTAAAAAAATCAATAGAGAATGTTCTCTAATATTTCTTTTACAGCAACAAGACTTTAGACATTTATCAATGAGCAAGATCTTTTCAAAGCTGAAGTAAAGGTTTCCTACTGCTATTTGCTGCATTCGAGCCCATTCTGCATTTAACTGAAAACAATTGTGGAGCCTCTGGCCTCCTTCCCTGGGCTACATTCTCATTTGAGAACCGAAAGCTGCTCAGACTCTACATCTCCTCTGCTTAAGGGTCAAGATGAAAAGACCTGGGCAGAGATGGGACCATCTTCATCTGGATTCTCTCCTGCATATTCACTCCTGAGCAACAGAGATCTACAAGGATGATAAACAACCTAGAAGAAAAGGCTTAAGGCATTGCATGTGTTTAGCCTAGAGAAAAGTAGATTGAGCGAGATAGGAGAGAGATCTTGGCAGGTGTTTGCTGGCCAAATGAGTGGTCCTTATCCAGCACTGATTAAAACCCAGCAAGCTTCTTTCCTTCCAAAACTGTTTAACAGAGACAACCCTAGAATCAGGCACTTTTAGCTGGCAAAAGCCTTTGCTTCATCTGTTTAGTTAAGAAGTTTATTATCTTCTCTTTTGCCGAGTCATCTTCGCAGGGGTTTATTGAAATTTAAAGCAAAAGCATTTTTTAAAAACCTGATCAAGGGGGTGAAGCGCTTCCCCTATGAGGAAAGGACGCAGCGTTTGGGACTTTTTCATTGAGAGAGAAAAGGCAAGGAAGAGGTGACATGACAGAAGTTGGTTAAATTAGGCATGGTGTGGAGAAATAAATCAGGTTTTAGTGGATTCGCACCAGCCCTATCCCATGTGCCCCTACGATGCTGGGTCTGGTGGGAATTGTATCCCCAGCCAGATTGGCAAAAACTGCTTTATGGTTTGTTTGCTCATTGGTGAGACAACTCTTGAAGAAACAAACCTTGGTTTAGCATTATGTGCAAGCGCAACCGATGTCTACCACTGGATCACACCGCCTGTGCACATGCTTACTGATATTTTCAAGGAATCTAAAAGGTTACTCTTGCCTGATTCTTCTTGAGCAAGACCTGTCAGTTCCAGTGGGATAGAGCTTTAGGGTTCAGACTAGGTAACAGATTGGAAGGTCTCCTACGTTATTTTATTAAGCTACAACGCAGCACATCCTGCTTTTTCTAGTCAAGGACTGCACAGACAGAGAAGCTAGGCTCTTGATCTCCTCTGGTTCTGGGGGTGGAGAATCTTGCAAGGAACTGAACAGATAAACAGCACATCTAAAATCTTGGGGAGGCGCCCTAGGTCAGGGAAGAGAACATTCTTTGCATGGCAGAATGTCTCATGCCTGGATGAACATCGGAAGCTGCCTTATCCCCAGATTGCTAGACTTTCTAGATTAGCATTTTTCATACTCTCCAGGGATTCAGGTGGTTGTGTAATCTTCCTAAGCACTAACTGAAGATGTACTGGGAGGGAGGAATGGCCTGACTCAGCTTTCTCCATTCATGCATTCATTGACTGCAGTCTCAAGTGAAGAGTGATTCCTTGCATGTGTGAATGTGCTACCACAGATCGAGCACCACAGGTAGAACTTAAATACCTCTGGGATAGCCCAAAGTCACATGAAATGCTTCAGGCACAGAATCGCCAGGCATCTGGCCTTGGCTCAGAGGACTTCCTGGTGCTGTAGTATCTTTAAAGTTATCAACTCCTTAGAAGAAGAGGAGGAGGAGCTCAGGGTTTCTTACACTGCCTCCAACGCAGTGCTTGTCAATGTGTGACTACATGCGCGGTGGCAGAACACACACTTGGCACACAACAGTTTCCAGTTTCCAGCTTTAGCAGAGGCCTTTCTGCCCAAGGCTCTGGAGAACTGTAGCCAGTCTCTGCTGCTAAGCTAGAGAAATTGGTGCTCTGACTCAAGAGCCTCGTGTGTTTGCTGGCCAGTCCTCAAGTGCTGAGCCATCGACATGTGTGCATGTCTGAACCTACACCGAAACCCCCACCTCCTCAACACGCCAGGATCAGCAAAGCTCTTGATTGCTACCTTAGGTCAGAAGCAGCCTCCCTATGTGGCCGTTCTGCCACCCCCACCCCCCACTTTTGTTATTTTAACTGTCTGGCTCTTTAAAACCAAAGCCGCTGAGCTGAACTCTGGCCAAACCGAATTTTGTCTGCCTGCTTATCCCAAAAGCCTGATGACACCAGTGAGGAATGGCTCAGAAATATTAGCTGGTCTCTGGAAGCGAATAGTCTATACTTGAGATTAAATTTGGAAGCAACGTGATATAATTCATTTGAAGAGCATTTTCCTAACTTGGAGAAACAGCGGGGGTGAGGCACTCCAGAAATGGGGGCTGCCTTCAGATGAACCTACACACCATGATTTGGAGATGGAACAAACTCTGTTTTTGCCTGCTCCTTCCTCCCCATCGGCACACCTGAACAGTTTACGTCCTAGTTTGAGCAAAGTGCTGTTTGCAATTGCAAACCAAGTTCTCAAGCCGGGGTTTGTGATCCTGTTTTGCAGTTCTGATTTGAAGGTGCGAAGTCTGGTGTGATCAAGCCCTGCTTTGCTGCAAAAGGTGTAACAACAAACTGTGGTTTGACCGTGTTTAACAGGAGGAGAGAGTACATGAGTACAGCACTGGTTCATGATCCTCAGGTCCTAACCATAACTTAGAGCACTGTTGGAATGCAGCTGATATTTAGCAAATAAAGTGTCTGGAGCCCCTGAATTCTTAGGCTGATAAATGAAGGGAAAGTTCAATTTGTTATGGCTGAGCCTCAACCTCTCTCTAGCTCAGAGTTCCACACATTTCTCTGTCTTCTGATGCTCAGGCCAGTTCAGTGCTGCATCCTGGACTTGCAAAGCACTCAATTTTTCATATAATCATAGAACTGTAGCGATGGAAGGGACCCCAAGAGTCATCTAGTCCAACCCCCACAGTACAGGAATCACAGCAAAAAATCCCTGACAAATGGCCATCCAACTTCTGTTTAAAAACTTGCAAGAAAGCAGATTGCACCATTTTCTCAGGTAGATGAAGTCTCCTTGTAATTTGAATCGGATGGTTCGGGTCCTCCCCTCTGAAGCAGCAGAGAACAAACTTGCTCCATCTTTCATGCAGAAACCCACCAGCTGTTTGAAGATGGCTTTCGTATCTCCTTTTGGCCTTTCCCCCCCAGGCTAAACACCTGCATATCTGTGAAGCAGGCGTGTCCATGAGAGTAGGGAGAGGGGCTTCTACTTTCTACTTGCAGTAGCCTTTGTTGCTTTTAATATTTTTTCCAACCTCCCTCCAAAAAACTTAAATTGCTACAGGTGGTTTCTTCTACACCTTTACCTTCACAACAACCTTGTGATGTAGGTTTGGGGGTGGGTGATTCCCTTAAGTAAGCTTTGTGGTGCAACAGGGATTGGTTTATTTATTGCATTTCTAACCCAACTTTTTCTCCAAGGAGCTCAAGGTGGCACAGGTGGTTCTCCCCCAGCTCATTTCATCCCCACAACAACTCTGTGGTGTAGTTACAGATAGGTAGCCGTGTTGGTCTGCCATAATCAAAACAAAAAAAATTCCTTCCAGTAGCACCTTAAAGACCAACTAAGTTAGTTCTTGGTATGAGCTTTCGTGTGCATGCACACTTCTTCAGATACACTGAAACAGAAGTTGCCAGATCCTTCTATATAGTGAGAAGGTGGGGAGGGGTATTACTCAGAAGGGTGGTGGGAATGGGTGATTGGCAGATAGCTGTGATGAGCCTGTTGGCCCAACAACATCACACATACCATCTCGGGACTATTTAATTGCTCATCGTCTAACATTGTGTATGCCATCAAATGCCAACAGTGTCCTTCAGCTCTCTATATTGGACAAACAGGCCAAACCTTACGCCAAAGAATAAACGGACATAAATCTGACATCAAGAATCACAAGACAGAGAAACCAGTAGGAGAACACTTCAATCTCCCAGGACATTCTATACAAGATCTCAAAGTAGCTGTTTTACTACAAAGGAATTTCAGAAATAGACTGGAAAGAGAAGCTGCTGAATTGCAACTCATTACCAAACTTAAAACCATGGAGAGACCTGGTCTGAACAAAGACATTGGATTCTTATCTCATTATACATGACAAAGCCATTTTTCACCTTCTCACCCCTTGCTTTTCCCTGTAAGACCTATTGCAGTCGTTAAGAGTCGTCAACAGGCTCATCACAGCTATCTGCCAATCACCCATTCCCACCACCCTTCTGAGTAATACCCCTCCCCACCTTCTCACTATATAGAAGGATCTGGCAACTTCTGTTTCAGTGTATCTGAAGAAGTGTGCATGCACACGAAAGCTCATACCAAGAACTAACTTAGTTGGTCTTTAAGGTGCTACTGGAAGGATTTTTTTGTTTTGTTTTGTCTGTGGTGTAGGTTAGGCTGAGAGGCAGTGACTCACCCAAAGTCACCCAGCGGGGATTTGAACTCATGTCTCCCAGGTCCCGGGCCGCCATCCGTAATCTCCCAGTCCTCTGTTCCCACACTGATCTTGCTCTCTTCTGCCTTCTCCTCTGCAGTCTGATGGGACGATCCTGGCCATTGCTCTGCTGATCCTGTTCCTTTTGCTGGCGCTGGCTCTGCTGTGGTGGTTCTGGCCGCTGTGCTGCACCGTGGTAAGTTTCCTCCTGCCCAGACTGGGATCTGTTCCCTCTGGAGCAGCTCCTCTGTGCGGACAGGCCAATGATTTGAGCAGCAAGGAAACAGCTCACATCAGAAACCTGCATCCACTCTGCCAAGTGTTTTGCCAGGGATCTCGCTTTCCTCCCATCTCAGGTCAAAGCTGGAACTCTCTCTACATCTGGGGCACAATATGAAGCAGGGCTCAGCCCCAGAAGCTGTTTTCCAGCCCCACTGCTACTTGGGCCTGGGCACATTCCTGGGCTCTCAGCAGGTGAGGTGGACAGCCTGCATCTGAGGTGTACCTTTTTGAGCTTTTCGATCGGAATTGGCACTATTATAGGTGCCACATACGGTAATACCAATTCTGCATTTGTAAGAACGCAATCGTTTCGTTTGGCAGTAGCTAAACTTTGGTAAGGTAAAGGTAAAGGGACCCCTGACAATTAGGTCCAGTCGTGGCCGACTCTGGGGTTGTGGCGCTCATCTCGCTTTATTGGCCGAGGGAGCCGGCGTACAGCTTCCGGGTCATGTGGCCAGCATGACTAAGCCGCTTCTGGTGAACCAGAGCAGCGCACGGAAACGCCGTTTACCTTCCCGCCGGAGCGGTACCTATTTATCTACTTGCACTTTGACGTGCTTTCGAATTGCTAGGTTGGCAGGAGCAGGGACCGAGCAATGGGAGCTCACCCCGTTGCGGGGATTCGAACCGCTGACCTTATGATCGGCAAGCCCTAGGCTCTGTGGTTTAACCCACAGCGCCACCCGCGTCCCTAAACTTTGGTACTCCCTACCTATTGAGATCAAGCACTGTATTATTTCTGGCTCCTGCTAAAAACATTTTTGTTTAGAGAAGCCTACCCAGATGCTTGGAAAGCTGATGTGAATTTTAACCTGTTTTGGGAAAAACAAATGGTATGTTTTAGATTCTATGTTGTATTTTTTCCTTGATTTTATTGGGGTTTAAAAAATATTTTTATAGAAATTTAAATAAAATTTATATCCTGCCTTTCCCCCAGACTGGGACTCAAGGCGGCTTACACGAATTAAAACAACATAGATAAAATACATGAATTTAAGCCATGTTGGGCTTTATAGGCCATAACCAGCATTTTGCACAGAGGGGGGGGGAGAGGTAACCTTCACAATATGCATGGAGACGGAGGGGCAGGTTGCTTCTGATGTTTGGGGGGCAGGGAGCAGGTTGCTTCTGTGCCCAGCACAACTCTTTACAAAAGATGTGATTCCTGCATTTGCAGGGGGTCGGACTCAAATGATCCTTGTTTCCCTTCAAATTCTACAGTTCTATGAAAAGCAGAGTGACAGCACAACCCTATGACTTCTACTCAGAAGTAAGTCCCACTGAATTCAGTGAGACTTAATTCTAGGTAACTTTGCACAGGATTACAGCCTCAATCACACAAAACATAAATGTTATTGAATAATAAAATAGAATAAATCACAATTTTTTGCTGTTTTATGCAGGAAGCGGGAGGGGGGGTGTTTCTGGGCAAGGAATTTGGAGAACTGGCTGCAGAATGGCTGATTTCTTCCTTCCTTTTTTTTTTTGTTTTTTTTGTTTTAGCCCAGATTCTGATACCCTGTGTGTAACTACCCTTAGAAAGTGGGTCCCAGAACAGGTTGCCCTCCTGATAGGTGTGTTTGAGTAAAGCATGTGTTTTAATTTAAACGGAAACCGTTCCCACCCAGCTGTGCTCCAGGCGAGATAAATGGCCAGCGTCATTTGAGGGCTGGGGATAATTAAATTCACCGACTTCAGTGGAGGAGTGCCATGGATTTTTCTGGACCAAATGGTCTTCCTGGCGAACACCCATTGATAAACATAGTTTCCAAATGCATCATTGTTGATGATTCTCCAGTGTGTTCTGTCGAAGAAAGGATGAAAGATTGGGCTCATCACTCCAGTTTACAGTAAATGTGGTGATGTCAAACCGAGGTCAGTTAGACAGTAAGTGAGATTTTAGTGTGTGTGTGTTCTGGCTCAGGCAGGAATCTCCTCCATCTTTCATTTCAGCAGGTGTCATACGCAGGTGGAGCAATGAGAGGCAGGGGCCCCATCCAGACATGCAAGAGAATGAGATGTTAGACTCCTGAGAGAACCAGTGTGGTGTAGTGGTTAAGAGCGGTAGTCTCCTAATCTGGGGAACCGGGTTCGTGTCTCCGCTCCTCCACTTGCAGCTGCTGGGTGACCTTGGGCCAGTCACACTTCCTTGAAGTCTCTCAGCCTCACTCACCTCACAGAGTGTTTGTTGTGGGGGAGGAAGGGAAAGGAGAATGTTAGCCGCTTTGAGACTCCTTAAAGGGAGTGAAAGGCGGGATATCAAATCCAAACTCCTCTTCTTCTTCTTCTTCTTCTTCTTCTTCTTCTTCTTCTTCTTCTTCTTCTTCTTCTTCTTCTTCTTCTGAGCTGGCAGTTTGGCCTTCAAGAGGGTGGGGAGGGGGGTGCTGTTTTTAGCACATCAGGAAGGGAGCTTCTAGCCTAATTCATTGCACTCTTTGCATTGCTACTTTTCTACTTGGCAGCAGTTTCTCTTCTTTTTAAATGTAGGGGACAATTAAAGTATTGTTACATGGCATCCCAATCTCTGAGCAGTGAGAGCCTCCAGTGGTTCCGGGTGCTTATTCAGGGTTTGGTGGCGCTGTGGTCTAAACCACTGAGCCTAGGGCTTGCTGATCGGAAGGTAGGCGGTTCAAATCCCTGTGACGGGGTGAGCTCCCATTGCTCAGTCCCAGCTCCTGCCAACCTAGCAGTTCAAAAGCACGTCAAAGTGCAAGTAGATAAATAGATACTGCTCTGGCAGGAAAGTAAACGGTGTTTCCGTGCGCTGCTCTGGTTTTGCGAGAAGCGGCTTAGTCATGCTGGCCACGTGACCCAGAAAAACTGTCTGCAGAAGCGGAAAAACGCCAGCTCCCTTAGCCTGTAAAACGAGATGAGCACTGCAACCCCAGAGTTGTTCGCAACTGGACTTAACTGTCAGGGGTCCTTTACCTTTAGCTTTATTCCTTGGAATGAAGGTCAACGGAGACTGCGGTGTCTTTATGCTATATGGTTTTATTTACACGTCTATAGAAGATGAGCATAGGAAGAAGGGGCTCACAGCATTAGCACCCCAACAGATTTTGCCTCGCTATGAGTCACACCTTTGGATCCTGCACAGATTAATCATGTCTCTGTGTCTCCTGTTTCCAGTTGCTTCCAGCTCAGCACACACTCTCTGGATATTGTTCTCATACCTAGCAGCTAGGTGAGGGTGGTAGTGGAAGAAAGCCGCTTCCCATTAGCCTGGAGGGCACCATCACTTAGTTGTAGCTCTTGCAACTTGGCTCATTCTTTTGGGATGTTGGTTTGCAGCATGGAGTGTCCTAGTGGCACATTCCAATGCCTCCCTATTTCAACCTCATTCTTCTCCAGCATCTTCTCCAGAGTTCCCTTTAACTGAACTCCTGAGGTTCTGTTTTTCTGTTGTTAGCTAGGAGCAGAATTGCAACAGAGCAGGAGTGAGCAGCCGGCAACCCTGCCAAGGACACAACTTGTGCTGGGGAGTCCCAAAAAACATAAGAAGAGCTTCCAGGATCAGGCCATGGGTCCATCTAGTCCAGCATCCTGTCCACACAATGGCCAACCAAAGGGACATAATTTGCACACTCCAGACAAGACAAGGACATGGTGGGAAAAAAGTAATGTAATGAAATTTCAAGAGGGATAAATGTAAGGCTCTGCACTGAGACAGGACTAACCTGATCCACAAATACAGGTTGTGGGTGTGAAAAGGATCTAGGGGTCTTAGTAGATCACAAGCTTAACATGAGTCAACAGTGTGATGCAGCAGCAGAAATGGACAATGCAATTCTAGGCTGCAACAAAAAAAAGTAGAGTGTCAAGATCAAGGGAAATAATAGTCCTGCTCTATTCTGATCCTGGCCACTGGGCCCATCACCTCCTGGCAAATAGAAGGGGAAGAAATGGAGGCAGTGAGAGATTTCACTTTCTTGGGCTCCATGATCCCTGCAGATGGTGACAGCAGCCACGAAATTAAAAGACGCCTGCTTCTTGGAAGAAAAGTGATGACAAACCTAGACAGCATCTTAAAAAGCAGAGACATCACCTTGCCAACAAAGGTCCGTATAGTTCAAGCTATGGTTTTCCCAGTAGTGATGTATGGAAGTGAGAGCTGGACCTTAAAGAAGGCTGATTGCCGAAGAATTGATGCTTTTGAATTATGGTGCTGGAGGAGACTCTTGAGAGTCCCATGGACTGCAGGAAGATCAAACCTCTCCATTCTGAAGGAAATCAGCCCTGAGTGCTCACTGGAAGGACAGATCCTGAAGCTGAGGCTCCAATACTTTGGCCACCTCATGAGAAGAGAAGACTCCCTGGAAAAGACCCTGATGTTGGAAAAGATGGAGGGCACAAGGAGAAGGGGACAACAGAGGACGAGATGGTGGGACAGTGTTCTCGAAGCTACCAGCATGAATTTGACCAAACTGCGGGAGGCAGTGGAAGACAGGAGTGCCTGGCGTGCTCTGGTCCAGGGGGTCATGAAGAGTCGGACACGACTAAATGACTAAACAACATTCTGCCTTGGTCAGACCTCATTTGGAGTCCTGTGTCCAGTTTGAGAAGGATATTGACAAGTTGAAAGGTGTGCAGAGGAAGGCAACAAAGAGGATCAGGGGTCTGGAAACCAAGCCTTATGAGGAACAGTTGAGGGACTTGGGGATGTTTATCCTGAAGACTGAGAAGTGAAAGGATAGCCATCTTCAAATATGTGAAGGGCTGTCCCAGGGAAGATGGAGCCAACTTGTTTTTTGCTGCTCCCGGGGAAAGGACCAGAACCAATGGATTCAAATGACAAGAATAGTGATTCTGGCTAAATCTTAGAAAGAACTTTCTGATGGTAAGAACTGTTAGACTGTGGAATAGACTGTCTCAGAAGGTGGTGGGTTCTGCTTCATTCAAAGTCTTTAAAGAGAGCTTGGATGGCCATTTCCCAGGGATTCTTTACCCATGATTCCTGCTGTGCAGAAGGTTGGAGCAGATGAACCTTGGCAGCCCCTTCCAATTCTATGATTCTCTGAAAACATCACTCCAAATGCCATAATTCTCATGGAAATATCTGGTGATGAGAAAAGTAATGTTGGATCCATTTGGAAAAATTTGGTTCTCACCCTGGACTTTAATTAACCCAAAGGATCTGAAATGTTGGAGGAAAGAGGAATGTAAGAATAACTGAAGAATGTTTGATTATTATTGAGGGTGAAGCTGGAGAGGAAACGCAGATGCTCAGCTGTAACCCCCAAGGAACAATTACAGTGGAACTTACACATTTTCCCATCAGCGTGGAGGAAATAATGAGGTTCAGAATGGTTTGACAGCTGCCCTTTCCAACCATGGAGCTAATGGCAAGCATTGTTTATCTGGCCTATTAGGATGCTTTCCAAAAAAATAGCATAGCTTGATTATTATTATTTTAAGCGAAGAAACATAAGAGGAAAGTTGTGAGAAATAATCTTGAGCAAAACGCGCACAGTGGAAACAGCACCAGGCAACCCAGCGGAAAGTTTTCTTTTGCAAACCTCATTGGAACGAGTTGCAGAAGAGCTTAGCAGTGGCTAGATTCCTGCTGGATCAAGCCAAGGACCCATCTAGTCCAGCATCCTGTTCTCACAGCGGCCAACCAGATTCCCGTGGGAATCTAGGGAGCACAAGAGTCCTCTCCCATCCCACGGCTTTCTGCAACTGATATTCAGAAGAGTTGCTGCCTCTGATTGTGGAGGTAGACCATCACGGCTAGCAGTTCCTGATATCCTCCTTCTCCATGAATTTGTCTAATCCTTTTTTTAAAGTCATCCAATATAGTAGCTATCACTGCCCCCTGTGGCAGTGAGTTCCATTAGTTAACTATGCACTGCATAAAGAAGTATCCATCATGAGATTTAGATGCTTTGGGTCTAAAGTGGTGCGTTGTTTTTAGCCTAGCTTTTTGTTGTTTCTGTGAATGGAATTCATCTCTGCCTGTTGAAGCTAAATGGGCGAGACGTTACGGGGCAACACCTACTGCATTTGGCTTCGCTCAGTGACCCAGTGTGCTTTGCTGCTGCTGCTGCTGCTACTCCCATTCTTTATGCCATCAGCTCATAGCATGGTGCTTGCCATTCGTTCTATAGAGCAGTGGAAACAAAGAAGCAGAAAAAGGAAAGGAAAATGTCTGGTTTTAATCTCAGTCCCCCTCTGTGGCAGGGATGGACACAGGGCGGTATATGTTTCATGTTAAACAAAGCTGTCCATGTATACATTTTTCATTCTTGGAGCTGAAAATGAAATGCAAACATTTAGAGCGTAGACATATCATGGTCCCAGGACTTGGACTCCAGTGCTGCTGCCTTGAAAGAGGAGGGCTGGAACATCGCAGACCCTAAGAAGTCAGGGAGAGCCTTTCCCTGGCCCCTCTCCACAAGGGCCTAAAAGCACAGCCCTGTACAAACAGTACTGACACATTCACAAGACAACATGGAGAAGCAGATTCTCTTAACAATATCCTTTCACACTCTCTTTTTACAGTTTTTGCATCTCTTGACATGTAGGCCATCTGTTAAAGCATATCCTATCCACTACGACAGCTAGTAAAAGCTCCTAGACCTCTCCTCCACCATCAATTTTATCTAATCCCCTTCTACAGCTATCCAAACTAGAGGCCAACATGATATATTGTGGCCATGAGCTCCATCCATTAACTATGCACTTTCTTTGTCCATCACCGCATACACCTCTTGTTGGTGGGTTTCATTGAATGATGCTGCATTCTTATGAAAGAACGAGAGGAGGTGGAGAAAACCCTCTTTCAGATACTCCCTTGAATGAAGAGCATGTTGAAGACTCTTCAGCGGCCTCTCCCTCTGGGCACTTGTGTGGATTGGGCCCTGAGAGGGAGGGCATACGCTAAGCAAAAAGTAAGGTCACCACAACTTCCATCATAGAGCTTCAATATGCTGATGACAACATAGTGTGTGCACACTCAGAGGATGGCCTCCAAAGCATCCTAAATATATTTGCAGAAGCTTATGAAAAGCTTGGCCCATTGCTCAACATCCAAAAAACCAAAGTGCTGCACCAACAAGCACAAAACAGCCCCTCTGCAGCACCACAAATCCAACTCAATGGTGTAACATTGGAAAATGTCGGTCACTTCTCCTACCTGGGCACAGGGCCAACACTGATGACAAAATCCATCATCGCCTGAGCTCTGCGAGTACAGCTTTCTCCTGATTGAAGTACAGAGTGTTTCAGGACCAGGACATTTGCAGGTAAACTAAAATGCTTATTTACAAAGCTATTGTACTGCCAACCTTACTATATGCTTGTGAAACATGGACCACTTACAAACGCCATCTCCAACTCCTCACAAGATTCCATCAACGGTATCTCTGAAAAATTTTGCATATCACTTGGGAAGACAGGTGAACTTATGCCAGTGTACTGGAAGAAGCAAAGATCACCAGTGTCGAAGCAACGATTCTTCAACATCAAATTCGTTGGACTAGTCATGCTGTTCAGATGCCTGATTATTGTCTTCCAAAGCAACTACTCTATTCCCAACTTAAAAATGGAAAGTGTAATGCTGGCGGTCAACAAAAGAGGTTTAAAGACTCTCTCAAGGCAAACCTAAAATAAAAAGGGAATTGGGAAACACTGGTCTGCGAGTGCTCCAATTGGAGAACAGCCTTTACCAAATGTGTCATGGATTTTGAAGACGCTCAAACTCAGGATGAAAAATGCTAAGAGGAAGGCACATTTGGCAGACGCTCACCATGATCAACTCCTGCCCAGAAACCTATGTCCCCAATGTGGAAGGACGTGTGTATCCAGAATTGGCTTCCACAGTTACATATTGGCTCACTGTTAAAACTGTGTTCATGGAAGACAATCTTACTTGGCTACGAGTGCTCTTCAAAGAAGACAGGTGGGCAGGCAAGAGCTTGGAGAAGAGAAGGTGGGGCCCAGAGAGTGGGCTGCACAAAATCTCAAGCCAGCAGTAGATCTGTACAGTGGTTCCCACTGAAGGGGATTACCTGGGGGGGCACCTGGGGTGAGTTTATGGCCCCAGGTTTTCCAGAAAAAGTTTGGGCACCACTGACCTATACCTATTGATTTGTGTGGTGCTGGTGAATTAAACCTCCTGTAGCTTCATTGGCCTGGTTTATTTTGCTCCTTCTCACGTAGGGACAGATTGGGCTCTCTGTTCCTCTCCAAGGCTGCTGCATCTGAGGTTTAGGAGAGATGCTTGTCATGCCTCTGTTTTCGCTTTCCTGCTGGTTGGACTCCATGCTACTCTTGGAGAGAATCGCTGTGTCATCTGCCAGCTCCTTGCTACGTTGGAGATGCTTTTTTGTGTGTGTATGTGCAAGAAATAGCAGCCTCACACTCGCATCAGCTTTGACAGTTTCTACGGTGAAGACCCCAGGCCTATTTTTTTAATAGAAAGCCCAAACACAATCCCTCACATGCAGAGTAAATTTCTGGACTCGATGTACTTTTGTTAAATGTATTTATTTAATTTTCATCCCGCCCTTCCTTCAAGGAGTGTTGGCTGGCATCTGTGTTCATCCATCCCACATTTTATCCTCAGAGCTATCCAGGAGAGATGGGCGGGGGACAAAGCTACACTTGATCCTTGTTGCTGTGTGCCAGGGAACAAATCAATTAGGCAAAATGTGGATTTTGTGAGTACGTATTATTGTGGGTTTGGTGTGGGTCAGTCTGGATGATGCCCTGAGCCCCTTCCAGTTCTTGCAGTCCTGCACCCAGGGAGGGTTAGGATGTAAGAGAAGAGTTTGCTGAACTGGTCAGACAAGTTTCTTTGTAAGAAATGACCTTAGCTGGCTACTCAAGTGTCCTGGTCAGCATCTCAAAAAAATGAGGCAGTTTGTGAGAGCTACACCTAAGTGATGGTGCCCTTCAGGCTAAGGGGTGGGCCTCTCTTCCATCCACCTCACTTAGTTGCATGATAGCCGGAGAAAGTTTGTCCTTGCACTGTCCATGCTTAGAGCTACTCTCTAACCATTTTTTTACATGTTCTGGGAAGTGAGTCTTGACTGAGTTTAAAACCTGACTAGAGCAGCCTGGCTATGGACTAACCCCCTGTGTTTCTTCTTCATTCTTTTTAGATCATTAAGGAGCCTCCCCCACCCCCCATGGAAGACAGCGAGGTAAGTGCCCACTTCATTATGGCTTCTGAATTGCTCCTCTTGCCTTTGCTTTGTGTCTTTGTCCAGTGGGGAACTCAATCGCGCCCTCCATCCCTGCAGAAAGCAGCTTTGCCAGCCCTCTGCTTGAGGCCTGAGAAGCACTGAGCCTTGGACTTGCAAAGCTCCTTTTGCAGTGCTTCTCTATCACCTGACAACCAGCTGGAGAGTGTTGTGCAAGGGACTTTGACAGGTAGGTTGTAATGGCACCAGGTGATTGACAGGTGGGTTTTTCCTGCTGGCCTGTCAAAGTTGGCCTGTAGGGCTGGTGGGGACGGATACGGATCTGGCCCACTGGGCCAATCACCTTCCCCACTCCTGTGTGTCTGTTATGTGCTGGCTATCTCCCTCGTATTAATTCAAACTGTGCGGTGTCATGCAGTGATAAGATACTGGATGTGAAATGCGATGTGTTTGCTGTCGATCACCTCCTTTTCTTTGAAACCTTCAGATGTTGCTCTGAATCGTGAAACCTCTTGAATTATGTTGCAGTTTCAGTTCTGCTAGTTTGTTTTCATTGAGAACTTCGGTTTGAGTGAGGCCCAAGCTAACCAACACCATCAAAATCCTGTGTCCTGGTGATTATTCTCCTGGGTGCAAACCTGAGCATTTGTTCATGGAAATGGACGGTTCGATTCAGTTCCCAAATCTGAATTGCTGTGTTGTTGTCTCGGGTCCATTTCTTCACCCACATGGCAAGAGGGCCAAGCCACTGGCCAGCCTGTAATTGGATAATGCTTGCAACTGATGCCATCTTGCCCACTTAACAACTAGCGATAGACACACTTGGCAGGTCCGTTGCATTCAGTAGCATGGTTGCAATTTAGCAAAAAAGGTGGTTATGATTTCTGTTGAGAGGAGCCTTCTTGCAAAACCAAAGCAATCGTCTGTGTTCTTTTCCTGGAGAGACTGAACTCCTAGAAGCCGCTGCTGCTCCAGCATCTGAGCCCAAGCACTGTTGACCTGGGTAGACTGAGGGAGGTCTGCAGCTCAGTGTCAGAGACAGGCTTTGCATGGAGAAGGACCCAGGTTAAAACCCTGGCATTTCCCTGTAGGACTGAGAAAGGCTTTGGTCTTCAATCTTGGAGAGCTGGTGTCAGTTAATGCAGATGATCCTGACCTTGAAGGACATGGATGCAGCCTCATTGTTTCCTATAAGAGGAATCTTTGCCTCGGACCACTTTGGACAGGGCTTGCTTCAACTCTGTCTCCCCGTTCACTGTCAAGGGGTGATAGTTTGAAGGAGCGGAAGTCCACACCAATGGAGGGCTTCCCTTCACTAGTCACTTTTAGGGTGCTTTTTTCCACCCTTGGATAATCTGATGGAGGTGGCCTCCATTGGCTTGCACAGGGCAGGGAGGAAAGCCTGCACCTCCCCAAAAAAGCCTCCTCCAGGATCTTAGGGCAATAGAGAAGGGGTGCATTTCCCCATGTTAGCCATGTTGAAGGGGCAAACAAGTGGGGCAGTGGCCAAAGCTCTGAAGCTGTGTCCAGTACATTAGAACCAGCTTGCTTTACTTCGGGGAAGGTTCACATAAGCTCGTAAGAGACCATTTGCATTCAGTATTTGGGCTTCAACCAAAGTGGGTGCAACTTCCTAAGATATCACCCCATTGGGTTCTCAACCATAAAAGCTTGTGAACTGGGCACATAGTGAATAAGCATGAATGACTGGGGCAGAGATTTACCTCCAGTGACAGAGGAATCTTTTTTCTCTGTGGTTCTGGTTCTATCTAGCAAGAGGTTCATGGTGCTGTTGGTCTAGCAGAGCTGGTTTAGAAACTAACATGTTCAACAAAATGTTTAACTCTAAGAACAGCCTGCTGGATCAGGCCATGGCCCATTTAGTCCAGCATCCTGTTCTCACAGTGGCTGAAGTGTGAGAACAGTTGTGGAAAACTAGCAAACAGGACCTGAGCACAGTTGCTCCCTCCAGTTCTGGAGGCAGGGCATAGCTATTGACTAATTTTAGAATTTGTCTAATCCTCGTTAGTGCCCATCCCTGCCTCCTGTGGGAGGGAGTTCCATAGTTTAACGAAATGCTTCCTTTCATCTGTCCTGAATCTTCCAACATTCAGCTTCGTTGGATCCACAAGTTCTGGCAAAGGTTATTCTAACTCTAGGACAGCCTTTGGTCACCTGGTTCCCACCAGATGTTTTGAACCACAACTCCCATGAGCTCCAAGCAGCACAACCAATGGGAATTGTAGTCCCAAACACCTGGAGGTTGTTGACGGCTGCTTTGGGAACCTTAGGCTAGGTAGTGGAGTGCCCTTGTGAGGTACCTAGGAGGGAATATCAGATGAAGCCCAAGCTTTTCCAGAAAAGGAAAATTTTGTTAATAGACTAAAAAAAATATGCAGTATACTTGAAGGCTGTCCCAGAGAGGAAAGGGTTATAGAGGGAGTGGGAAAGGAGTTGGCAGAGACCCCAAGGCTGCTGCACAGTTATGCTTTAGCCGGGGGGAAGGGAAGGGGGAGCAATGGAAGTTGGAAAACTGGCAAGAGAGACAGAAAGAAATAGGGAGGGAGCAAGTTATACCTTTCCTTCCATATGATCTGTCCAAAAACATGTCAATGGAGGGGGGAGGGTCCTCAGCTCCAGGGTGAATCCCCCCAAAGAGAAACCATGGCATGGCATTGTTGGTCAGTGATTGCTGGATGAGTTTGTGTGTGTGCAGCGATGGATGTTCAAAGGCTGGTATTCCAGGAGTCAGTCAAGCTGAGTGTGTCTCACTAAGATTGTTTTCACTCAGATCATTGATAGTGTCAGAAAGACCAAACTAATGACAGACTGGGTAATGACCAGAAGGAGGATTCTTTGATAAGCAAAAGGGAAGGATGGCCGTCTAATAGTCTAAACTGGATGCTAGCAGAGCAGAATCACTTTGGCCAGAAGAGGCCACAGCTGTTGGACTAGCCTCGGCTGGTGGAAGGCACACTTGCACTGCCCCACAGTGGCCACATGAAACCAAGCTGGCTCCACCTTCAGATATTTGAAGATGGCTATCGCATCGCCTCTCAGTCATCTCTTCTCCAGGTTAAACCACCTCAGCTGCCTCAGCTGTTCCCTTGATCACCTTGGTCTTTCAAGCAAACTGTTAGACTTCACCTTCCTGGGCAGACAAAGGGGGGGGAGACCCCTTCTCATTTAACAACATTCTCGTCCTTCAGGTTGATGCAACTGTTAAGAAAGTAGCTAAAAAGGTAAAGGGACCCCCTGACCATTAGGTCCAGTCATGACCGACTCTGGGGTTGCGGCGCTCATCTCACTTTATTGGCCGGTACAGCTTCCGGGTCATGGGGCCAGCATGACTAAGCCGCTTCTGGCAAACCAGAGCAGTGCACGGAAACGCCGGTTACCTTCCCGCCGGAGCGGTACCTACTTATCTGCTTGCACTTTGACGTGCTTTCAAACTGCGAGGTTGGCAGGAGCAGGGACCGAGCAACGGGAGCTCACCCCGTCGCGGGGATTCAAACCGCAAGTCCTAGGCTCTGTGGTTTAACCCATAGCGCCACCCGCGTCCCTAGGAAAGTAGCTAGTCAACTGTTAATTTAAAATAAAGCACCAAAGTTTTCGACTCAATAAATATGAGGGATCTTTGAAAACTCGTAGGAATCAACACAGAGAATCATTACAGACCTTAAATACCATCCCCAGAGAGTTGTACTCCTGTGCTGTACTGAATGGAATCTCGAACACGATTTTGTGTTTATGTGTTACGCTGGATCTGTTGCCAAATGCATCTTGCTTTTCCACCGAAAGGATGACTTAATAGGGGGTCCAACCTCAGTACCAGGTTAGTGAAGTGCTTCTTGCAGGTGTTAGGAGGATTAAGGCCCGGCAACCCCACACCCCTGTAGCTTTCGGAGTCGGTGAAGATTTGGCAGCCGCCCATTTGCACTGCAGAGCTGTTGGTCTAGCTTTTATCTGTGTTTATTATTCCTTTCCAGATTGTTTCCTTTTTCCCTCTCATGGGCAGATATAGTTAAATAAACTGGAGGGCGAGCAACGGCGCTCAGTGCAGCAGGAAATTCATTATTACCCACCAGTGTGTTGTACAGGCCGTCTCCCCCTCCTCTCCCGGTCACCCCAGGCTCACGCCTTGCTGGTGGGAAGGGCAAAGGCGGGGAGGATGGCGCCTTGTAGCAGAGCCAGGGACCTCAAGGGAAGGGTGTGGGACTTGAATGCAACCCCGATGTGATTGGGAACAGATGAGAAGCAGGTTTTGGGCCTGGGAGGTGAAGCTTTCGCAAGCAACATTGGGTCGCCGAGGGAAGAAGAAGCTGCTTCTTGTAGCCAAAGCAATAGTTCACTAAGTCAGTGGCAACTGAAATTTTAAACATCTTATGACTGCACAGCATAGGAGCCAACTCTTGGGGCCGAGGTCCCTTCCGCAGCCCCCATAAAATATTTGAGGGTCCCCCGCAAAGTTGATGGGCAATGGTATTCATGTGCTATGGGATCGATGGCAGCCTCCCCTTATTTTATTTGTTGGCACCCCTGCCACGCAGAATCTCTGAGCTTTTCTGCTTCCCTTCCCAAACTAAAGGGGACGCGGGTGGCGCTGTGGGTAAAACCTCAGTACCTAGGACTTGCCGATCGCAAGGTCGGCGGTTCGAATCCCCGCGGCGGGGTGCGCTCCCGTTGCTCGGTCCCAGCGCCTGCCAACCTAGCAGTTCGAAAGCACCTCCGGGTGCAAGTAGATAAATAGGGACCGCTTACCAGCGGGAAGGTAAACGGCGTTCCGTGTGCTGCGCTGGCTCGCCAGATGCAGCTTGTCACGCTGGCCATGTGACCCGGAAGTGTCTGCGGACAGCGCTGGCTCCCGACCTATAGAGTAAGATGAGCGCACAACCCTAGAGTCTGGCAAGACTGGCCCGTACGGGCAGGGGTACCTTTACCTTTACCTTCCCAAACTAAAACTAAAAAGTTAACCATTGCTTTCATCTTCAAATGTCACA